TCCCAGGTTCACGCCATTCTCCTGCCTCAGCCTCCCGAGTAGCTGGGACTGCAGGCGTCCGCCACCATGCCTGGTTACTTTTTTATGTATTTTTAGTAGAGACAGGGTTTCACCGTGTTAGTCAGGATGGTCTTGATCTCCTGACCTTGTGATCCGCCTGCCTCGGCCTCCCAAAGCACTGGGATTACAGGCGTGAGCCACCGCGCCTGGCCAGTAGCTCTTTCAATTGGACTCATTTTAAGATAGTTCTAAGAGCCCTCTTACTCAAAGGGAGAACAGTTCTGAAATTTCTGAAATTTTCCTTACGAAAATGGCAATGAAATAGGGCAATATACTGCCTGGACTTATTTAAGCATACCACCTTCCCTTCATGGGAAATCCTCTATTTACTTAAGGCTCAAAGAAAGGTAAAGCTATTTTTAGAGGCAATTTAGATAAGCAAATACTTAACACCTGATGGGCTGCTGGGGTTTACCATTCAGATGTAAATTTTGGTTGCTAATTTCTTATGTAAATTATTGGAATAGTGTAGGTTCCTACCCTGCTGGGAGGCAGTTGATTGTCCAGAGTTAAGGACAACCAAATTTTAGGCCTCCAAATACTGCTTTGATTACTTTAGCTTGTGTTTATAGCTGTTTCTGTAAACTTTTCCCTTTGCCCCCTTTTAGTTTACTCTGTAACCTTCAAGTTGGAGATAATTGGAGAATGCAAATCTGTTTCTGTGAAGTGAAATCTTCAGCTGTTTTCTTAAAGAATTGCAGATGAAGTTTATAAAGAAGACCTATCTACTGTTATTCCTTTTTTAAAAAATTAAAATTGTTTGCTCTGCAAGAGGCTTGGTTTTAGAGCAACATTTCAGTGTTGTCTTCAGAAAGTGAAATTATTTCAAGGGCAGATTTGTCAAATAAATTATTTGTATGCCCGTTATCACTAACTTATGTTTCTTTGCTTGTAGACTATAAACAGGCTTAGAGTCTTCCTTAGGATACTCTTAACCAGATCTTCTTATAGCCTCTAAAAGAAAGATCACATCGGTCCCTTAGAATTATTTAGATGTAATTCAGAATTACGCTGTTGTGGAGTCCTAAGGTTTTGTTTTGTTTTTCATTTAGTTGAAGGTTTTAATTGAGATTTAATATTTGATGTTTATTAGACTAGTAATCAGACATATTTCTTGTAGTGGAACTACCTGTCACACCGGATATCTGTCACACTGGATATTGGGATCCTGTAAGTCTTGAGATAGAATATTTCATAGATTTTGTTTTTAGCTCTCCACTCTTTTTTACAGACGTATGCAGCTTATTTTCCATCTGAAAAAGCTAAATTAAATATTGCTCTTTGCATAATGTTTTTATTGTCATAGTGATCCCTGATGCTATATTTTGTATATCATTAGCTGATCTGAATCCAAGCAATGAGGATTTGGAGGAAACAGTAAATAGATATATACTTTACAGCAATAGACCAGACCCTTGGCAGGCGAACTTATTCTTAGAATAACTACAGACTGAATTCATAAACTTTTGCTTGACTTAATGAGCATTTTTGACCTTGAGTTGATTTCTTCTGGACCCTGTTTTCTAGACTCAGCCCTGCTGTGCCTTTCTTTCCTAGTCTCTTCTTAATTAAATAGCCTGTATGGCTTGTGTTGGCAAATAGCTATGTGGTAAAAGATAAAATAGGACTATTTTATTTTATTTTTGAAGAACAGCTTTAAATTTGTGAAAATTAAGAAAATAGTAGTTTCTATATATCCTCACACAGTTTGCCCTATTATTAATATGTTAGTATAGTACGTTTGCTACAATTAATGAACCAATATTGATTTTTTTTGTTAATTTTAATAACAACTAAAGTCCACAGTTTATTTGAGTTCCTTGGCTTTTTCCTAATATTCTTTTCCTGTTTCAGTGTCCCATCCAGGATATGGCATCAGATTTAATTGCTATGTCTCCTTAGGTGCCTTTTGACTATGACAGTTTCTCAGACTTTCCTTGTTTTTGATGACCTTGACCATTTGGGGAGTATTAGGCATATTTGTAGGAGATCCCCCTGTTGGAATTCATTTGATGTTTTTCTCCTTATGAGATTGGGGTTATGGGATCTGGGGAGGAAGATCACAGGGGTCAATTTTTATCATATTCCTTAAATTTTTACATATTATTTCAAGGGTACATACTATCAACATGATTTATCACTATTGCTGTTAACTTTGGTCACCTGGCTGAGGGGCTGAAGGAGTGTTATCTCCACTCTCCTTCCACTGCATACTGTGTAAGGAATCCCCAGATCACACTTAAGGAGCAGGGAGTTACACTCCACATCCTTGAGAGCAGACTATGTAAATTATTTGAAATTCTACTGCATGGGAATTCATCTCTTCTCTCCCATTTATTGATGGGTTCATTCATTTATTTATGTCATTATGGCCATAAATGCCTACATTTATTTTATGTTTATAATCTAATACTAACTTATTTTGTTGCTCAAATTGTTCAGTTTTGGACATTGGGAGCTCTCAGTTGGTTCTCGTACCACTGTTACAAACCCCCATCATTATGGTGTGGGTTTTTTTTTTTTTTTTTTCCATCAAATAGGACATTTTCTCTTTTCATTGGCACAGGTACCTCTTGACTTTTTTTTTTTTTTTTTTAGGTGAAGGAGGCTAGAAACACACCTCTCATAGAATACAGTAATTGTTTAATAATTATTGCTTTTCACCTCTAGGTGTCCTCATA